AGAGAGAGAGAGAGAGAGAGAAGGAAAGTTTCGATACACGTTCGCGATTAAAACTAGACTCTCTGTTCGGTAGATTATGATTCTCGTTAGTGGTACAGAACGTACCTAGCCGAATCGGAAAATAGCTCGAGCGTATATCGGTGTCGATAGCACCGGCTCAGCCGCGATAATTTCCAGTGAGTTAACTTGCTAGCTAGCTAGCTAGCTAGCTAACCTTCACCGTGTTAACACCAATTCAATACACACCCGTGAACGTATGTATACATATATATATAAGTAGATGGTTCTCCGTTCTAACATCGAAAGTATTTATATCCCTGGAAATTCTACGAGTTTATCTACGTATATATGTATAAATAGCATTTTCTCGGCTCTACTTGTCGTTATATCACCATCGAATTACGACCCAACCCATTAATATCTCTTTAATGTACTAACAATTGATTAAAGAAAATTGACAAAATTAAATCATTGATTCCAATGTTTCGCAAAAAAAAAAAAGAATACACTTACTTTGTTTGAAAGCCTTCAAATTCTTCTTGTTGTTCGCTGATCGAAGCCTCGAGATCCAAATAAGCTCCATAATCGCCATCTTTGTAGAGTTGAAGAGCCGTATCATCGAGCTATAACATAATTAACAAAAGGAAACGTTCGTGAGCCAAGTTGTCTCGTTTTTCCTTCCTGTAAATATGTTAAATATCTTTTTTTACCCTCTATCTCTCTCTGCTCTTCTCAAATTTTCAAAAAAGATTCCGAAGAAAAGGGTAAGAGAGAGAGAGAGAGAGAGAGAGATAAAGAGATAGAGAGAGCGTATGTGTATATGTGACCCATATTTCTAAAAACTTTAGCTTGAAAATAGTTTTCAGCCAGTGAGACGACGGTGCCCGGCAAAGCACAAGCATTTATAATGCCCTCCTGCATTTCTCCGGTTTCTAAGCGGCCTCCATTCTAAGGATGAGCCTCGTGCACTGTTACGAGAGACCAAATGCTTGCGTAATACTTCTTTAGGCTGAACACGTGATCCGAAAACTCGGCTACAAATTTTATATTTTCCAAAATAATGATCTGAAAGTGATTAGTCGTGTGAACTTCGACTAATCGGTCTTCACAGATTAAAATGACAGTTGCTACGTCGATAACTTTTTCTAATAGTTTTTATTACCATGTTTATAACGATATCTGTTTGAAAACGTAGACATTGTAAATCTGCTCGCTCGCTCGCTCGCAAACGTGTAAAGCTAAATGTCAACCGATCTAAAAATCTGATAATCTGCCTACTGTTATCACCGAGAAATTCGATAACGGAAAGGCCAATGCGATAGCTAGATCGATACTATCAATTAATGGATTGCGAAGCTCGTTTGTTGCTATGTGTTTCGTACTGTCGTAATGCTTCTTTAAAACGGATAAACAAACATCTGACAAAGTATGTACACGTTCTCGAGTACACTACTCGACTCTGTTTACACCGTCCTAACAGTACGTGCTTTTGAACAACATTTCTTCGTTAAAAATATTTATGCATTAAGCGTAGCAATGAATTCGATGCATATTAAAAAATCATTGCATCATAATCGGCATCTTATTTTCGTCAAAAAATTCGGCAGTTGCCTGAAATATAGACCGAAGTCATCGAAAATGATGGAGATTATTTTGAAAAATAACAGATTTATGATTATTTTATAAATTAATATATGAATAGCTATTCCTATGTATATAAATATATAAAATGAAGCTTCACATCGCTATACAAAAATAATATTCTTGTTTATTATGTCTAAACGCTCATCAAAAATCAATTTATGAGATTCGATAAAAATTCAATTGGAAAAATATGTTTAAAGTGCGTTTATAGATTTAATAAGAAATATTTCGATTTTGTTTACGCAATAGCATTTAAAAAGTATTACGTTAAAACAAAGAACATTGTCGACATGTAAACGACGACGGATCGGGTAAGGCTTCGCCCGTTTTCGAGTAGGTTTCGCCAGATTTCTCGGCACATTGCTCGTCTTGCGTAGGACGACGCTTCTCTCATTCTTCTGAAACAGCTTTGTTTGCTCAAACTCGTACTACACGGGTGTTATGCAGTTTCTCTCCCTCCGCTTTGCCGCACCCCTTTGCTTTTTTGTCATCCTCAAACTTCTAACGCTTGCGAACAGAGAGAAATACAATAGCAACGATAGGATGAATGCCCTCGAGGAGATCATTAGTGTCATGTTGCAACTCGATTTCCGCTAAAAGACCTCTCATTATCTGTTTATTATCTGTTTTTGCATAATGTATTAATTAAACGAGTACTTTAAACGTTTGGAATTTTGATAATATTTAATATATTTAATATAATACTATCCCGGATAATTGTCAAACGTGAAAATCTAAAATTTGCTTTGATCGAATAAAAAATCAAACATTTGAATTTCTAAAAGTAAACGTAAAACGAAATGTTCGTTCCGTTAATTTTGTTAAAGTGATTTTCAAACTAAAGCACGACTATTCGAGAACACTCGAGAAACATCTTGGAGATTGTACCAACTAACAATAAAACGAATTGAAATGATACAGCATTCTCTTCTTCTCTCGTAGAAGTTAGAAAAAAAAAAAAAAAAGAACAAAAAAGAATTGAAGAAAGAGTGTTAGTCTGCAATAGAAAAGTAAAATAAAAAATAAAAATAAAACGGTCGACGTAGGATGGTAGGCAATATCGGTTAACGACGATGCCATCGAGACTTTACGATTTCTTTACGACGCTCAATGGATTTGTACTCATATTCCCTTTTTCTTTCAGGAAGATTTCAACAAACTTTTCTCTACTCCCCTTTCCAACGTTTTCTTTATTATTCTTCAACTGAAACTTTTTCAACGTGAAGGGTTATTTTTCCCACACGAGATCTGCTTCGTACGATCCTTAAAGTCATGCCTACAATCTTTATGCAATTATTTTTAATCACTTATTATAGAATCGTTTAAAAAAATGCTAACTGTTTCCGAACGATTTCACCCTCTTCCGTTTATAACGTACTATGCAGAATCATCACTCTAGTGCAAATACAACGATATTCCTCGCAAGAATCTGCAACGTCATACGTACATATGCATTATAAAAAGAAGAAGGAGACGGAAAAATAGAACAAAAGTAAATAAATATAAAAGTGAGAGAGAGAAAGAAATATGTAGAATTTGCGACTAATCAAGTTTAATAACGTTTTCACTATAATTCGCCAGAGACTTGAGACGTATATAAATTGACGAATAAAATGTCGTTAGCTCGCACACGAACAAATAAGACTTATATAATTATTTCAAAAAGAAAAAGAAACAAAATATTTGATTATCTTTCAACGTTATAGTTCCACTAATAATTAATAAAATGATATAATAGAGAAACTTAGTAAAAAATACAAAATTCGTAGAAAACGTCGTTGGTTTAAAGTGGAATAAGTTGGGCTATTTGGCCTTGCAAAGAAGAAAGGCGTTGCGGTAAAATGATCTGCTGCAGAGAGAGAGAGAGAGAGAGAGAGAGAGAGAGAGAGAGAGAGAGAGAGAGAGAGAGAGAGAAAGAAAGAGAAAAAAAGTAACATGTATTCTCATTAAAGTCCCAGGAGGATCCGGCTATTAATGAGCCGGTGCGACGTTTACTCCGAGTAAGCAACTGCGCACACCTTCGCCGATCCTTAGAACTCATCGAAGTATCCTCGAGTTATTATACGTGGACAAAAAGATAATGAAAATTGCGGAAACGCAAATATTCCTCGCAAAATAACAATGGTTATTGCTAACATACGCTGCAACAGAGATACATTTCTATTATTTGCATTTTCTCTACACTCGCGTGCATGCGTACTTGCGTCAATGTAAAATCCGATAAATAAATATATAAATAACTGGCATATACGCGTGAGATATAAATTTGATACTTATCTAATATCGTTGTTACACCTTCCGATGCTCGAATAAGAGTGACAGTAAATACGAAAAAAAGTTACGAAGATCAATGTGTTTACAAGTTCGACAAAGAGATTTTGAAAAGAATAAAGACGACAATAATCGAATGCTTTCATGGGCCGAGGGGTAACGTATGTATAAACAAAACATTTACCGATCGAGAAACCATTGTTTTGATGAACTTAATCTTTACCTACCCCTTCCCTTTTCAGTTGTCATTATTCTCTGCTTCCGACTAAATGTGTTTGGACGTGTTCCTATTACAGGTATTATCCATTTATATTATACATATTTTTTTTCCTCATTGCTTGCAATGTTTTATATCCTCTTTTTTAACGATCATCTAATTAATAATAATAAAACTTTAATATTTTAAGTACTTATGTGTATGTACATATTTATGCATGTTAAATACTAAAATTTGATTTTAATCTGATATTATTAATCTTGCTAATTAAATTACTCAATAGTCTTTCCATTCTCTCCGAAACATAAGCGATCGATAAAATTGACCACCAATACTTTTTCTTTTTGCTATATATCGGAAGTAATTGTTTATTCAGACATTTATTAAATTATTCGTTATACACATCAGTATCATATATATGTATATATCATATATTTTAATTAACTTTTGAATGATATTGGAAAGTTAAACCAACTTCGAAAAAATTCCCTGTTTCTATTTGAAAAAATGATTATACAGCTCATACATGTTTTTCTACTACATACAGGAATGCATAACCTTAACGGAAGTGGTTTACTTGACAGACGTAGAGACACGAAAAAATAGAAATATAATCTCGAGGATTTTATCTTTCTTTTTTTCTCTCTGCTATCTCTTTTACTTTCTTCTTCGGTACTTCAAATTGTGCAATAGAACGCTAGCTCTGTTCTTCCTTTGCTACTTGACTCGTCGTATAAAAAAAAAAAGAAAAAACTAGAGGGTCCTCCTCCGTATCGTCCCGAGACGAAAAACTCTCGTCGTCAGGTACTTACGTGCGTACATACAGCCTACCCCCCTGTGGTACAAAAATATCCAGACGTTTAAAAAAATGATAGACATCCCCTCTTCATAGAAAGACCCTTTTGCGTTTCCATCAACGCTTTCTCACTTCTTATAGGCTCATTTCTAACCCCCGCTAACTCTCTAAATAATTCTCGTCATTTTTGAAGTTTTCCCTTTTTCGAAAACTCAAAAGATACTTTTTAACTTTCAACCCAACGATTCTAACTCAAGAAATCTTCTGTCAATTTTGAAAAACCTGTTTAACTAATATTTACAATTTCAACAAAATAAGACGTCGCAACGTCTAAAAAGTTACCGAGGTATTTCTTATATTTAAAGACGATTGCATCCTGATTACACTAAAAAACTATTGCGGACTGGTTATACCGGAAGTTGATTTGCAATGAGTTTACTTTTCTATTTCCTTTCTATGTTGACTTCGATCGAAACTCATTCGACGGGAAAGTCGACATTCTTTGTAAGATGGAAAGTTAAATCGCTCGTACGACTGCAAATCACTAGCCACCGCGGCGTGACACTCGACCATAAAGTTCTATAGATTCATCTTGAATTACGTGACACGAGATCCAACATTAGCAGCGTTAGATGATTCGAGTTTGTTCCTGTCGCCTCATCCAACAAGTGTCTATTCAAGTGGTTTCACGGTAA